AGCGCTTAATAAATACTTGTTGACTTGTCTCAAACATCTCACTTCTCTTCTTAGTCCCAGCCCCAGCTCTGTGTGATCTGAGGAGTCACTTTCCCCACTCTGCGGACAAGCTCTTGTCTGTAAAATTGGAGGAAGTCATTGCTGTCCCCGAGGTTTTTTCCCATCATGCCTGCAGATCTCTAACATGTCTCCTAAAGGACTCCGCAGGGACACATTATGTCCCTCATTCTTCTCTTCTTTCTTCCTCTTCTCTCTTTTTTTTTTCTATGTGAACATATATTAAACTACTAATATTTGCAAAGCTACAAGTGTATAATCTCCTCCTATTACCCACCAGGGAATTTCAGAGACAGGGCCCATCTCTCCAGAAAAAAAGAGACAGGGTGGGTGAAGAGCCCGGGGCCACGATTTGCTGTTATTCCATCTCGGTGGCTTTGCACCGGCTGCTTGTCCCCCACGCCTGGGTACTTTCCCTTCCCATAGATGCCTTCAGAGTCATGGCTTCCTTTATGATTCAGCTCAAATACAACCTTCTTCAGGAAGTCTTTCCTAGTCTCCCCACTTGCTTCCACTCTAAGGTTACTTTCCATGTATCTTGTATGTACCTTTTTTTTTTAAATCCATAAAAATTTTTAAGTGACTACCATGTGCTAGGCACTGTGCTAAGTGGTGGGGACACAAAAAGAGGCAAAAGACAGCCTCTGCCCTCAAGAAGCTTACAGTCTAATGAGGGAGACAACAAGCAAATAACTATATACCAACCAAGCTATGTACAGGATAAATAGGAGGTAATTAACAGAGGGAAGGCACTGGAATTGAGAGGAGTTAGCCTTCCCTAAGGGAAGATTTTAGCTGGGACTCAAAGGAAGCCAGGGATGTCAGTGGTCAGAGCGGAAGAGCCAGAGAGAATGCCTAGATCAGAGAGATGGAGTGTCTTGTTCATGGAACAGTCAGGAGGACTGTGTGACTGGATTGAAGGGTACGTATCAGGGAGCAAGGCATAAGAAGACTGGAAAGGTGGGGAGAGGGGGTGCTAGGTTATGAAGGGCTTTGAATGCCAAACGAGCATTTTGTACTTGATCCTGAAGGCAACAGAGAGCTGCTGGAGTTTATTGAGTGGTGTGTGTGTGTGTGTGTGTGTGTGTGTGTGTGTGTGTGTGTGTGTG